CTTTATTATATATATATATATATATATATATATATAGATTACCTATAACCAACAGAAAGTCAAGGTTTTCATCTATCAAATAACATACCGTATAACGTTGTGTTCTCAACAGAAAATCCTCAATTTCACTTAGAGTACCAGCTTTGTTCCCATGGGAAAGCTAATGACTACCTTCAAAGAATTTGTAACGTCTCGTCGCATAATTAGAAAGCCAGAATAATTTTGAGTTAGGGGAAATTGTCTACATTTTGCATGTTATTAGTATACATTCATTGGTGCATTATCTACTTAAATAAAAATTTAGTGCATTACTACTATTGATATAAAATAATGTAGGGTTAAGTGTCATCGATTACCAACAGCAAGAAAAAAGAAGACTGGGAAGTACTTTATTTTTTGTCTTTCATGTTTATTCTTTATTTATTATAGTAAAATAACTAAAATGTAAAAATTAGGATCTTTTTACATTAGTTAAAATGACACTAAGTAAAATAAAAAAAAAAAATAATATATATATATATATATATATATAATAAAGACGTTTCATGAGGCATGCACACGAGCAGCTTGTGCATAAAGTAATTCAATAGCGTAACGTGAGCTACACATTCACAGAGTGATTTACAACATATATTGGTGTGGATAAGTAAAAAATATATGTGAAAAACAAGAAATATAATACTTATTTGTGATTTCATTATTTTTAGAGTCCATTGCAATGAAATTCAAGCTTAATTTTTTACCATACTGATGTTGCTAGTACACTAAATAAGTTTTTTATATTTAAATAATGCACCTTCAAACACAAAATAATAACACGCACAAAGGAAACAACGATCTATAATTATCATAATTTAACTGGCTTTCTAACTATGGAATAAAAGCCTTAACTCCTTAATATGGAATTTTGTTTTTTAGTTTTATGACTATCTTGTAATAAATTTTTTGAAAACATTTTTATTGCACGAAATCAACCGTATGCAAAGAACATTTTGTGAAAACTTCACAATAACCACCACTAGTTATGATAAATTGTTCATACACATGATAAAATAGTCTAAGTTTCAGCCACTGTCACAGATTGAATGTCAACGTCAATAGTTACACATGGTATGATAGACTTCAAAACATGGTGTCGAACACAAAGTAACTTCACAAAATTATCTTGTTTCCTTCCTGATTTTCTTCTTATCTGGTCCAGTATGAGAGCATCAAACCTCGTATTGTCGTGTTGGAGTGCTTTTGCCTTCATTTGGCAGAATATACTTTGGGAAATGACGTCCGGTTAGTCACAGAGGATCTGTTCATCGATGGTCTTCCTCTGCGAGGAATCATGACCAGATTATGATAAGTTTCAAGAATTCTCTCGATCAGCTTTATTCTGAACTGTAAGAGATTCATTTTGCCAAAAAGCACAGCTTTGTTGTCTTTTTTGAATAAAATATATTGAGCACAGTTTGATTGAACAAGTGGCAAATTGTTTTTTGTACCACACTTTGTCTCTCTTACATTCTGCTGGATACACAACAAGCATCTCATCCATAATGCCTACAACTCCCATATTGTTGTTGTACAAAAGAACTGCAGTAGGTTTTTGTTTATGTCCCCGACATGTGTGTAAAGTCGTCATTTCATTTTTGTGCAACGTTGACAAGAGTGTGACCTCTCGTTTATCCGACTACTTCATAGCCATTATGTCATATGTATACATTGCAGTGGTTTGACCACAAGAAATTTTCTTCTTCAATTCAGGTGGCATGTGTTTTGGATTTATCCTCACAGTTCCCACAGCATCAGTTTGTTTTTTGAACAGACTTGGTGAACTATACAAATTCTCCATGAAAATATAATAGCCTTGACCAAGGAGGTTCTTGGCAAGTGTCAGCACAATTCCTAACAATACGAGACCATTCACTGATTCTTCTAATTGCATTGCTTGTCCAATGTGAACGACTGACTTACAAATTTTGCCTGTTCCACATTCACACAGTTCACTTCAAACCAAAGCGAGATCACTTCAATGGAATGTACTGCTTTATGGCCAAATGCCCTTTTCACAGTATCAACGATTCATCAATAGCCACATGTTGTCCAGGCACATAAGCAGTGGAGAATCTTTCAATAAGTGCTTCAAAGTGGTTTTTCATTTTTCAGAATGATTTCCCTGCTGCTGATGTAGTCTTTGGCAACGAACTGTGATAACGAAGTTCAGTCATTATTTGCCTGATGTATGGTGTCTCAAGCAATGGTTTTGTTGATCAATATAACTCAACCTCAGGCTTTTGAATAATTTTTTGATAAATAAACACTGCAAACAAAACCTTCATTTCATCGCTCACCATGCAAGTCCACTGGTTCAATCTGGATCTGCACTTCAAGGTCGAGCCCTCAGTAAGCTGACACGCTCATCTGTTTGTTTCAGTAACAATCATACTAATCACGTCATCAGTAATGAACAACTTAAGATATTCTAACGGATCACTTGTGTCAGTTATTGCTATACGTCATCCAGGTGACCCTGTGAACACATTTTGATTATGTTCCACTCCAAACCACGTTAACAATATTGAACTGTCAGTCTGGCTTTCATCTGTCATGCTCTCAACACGGTCATCATAGTATGTCACATCTAAATCGCTAGAACTAGACTTACTATCATCATCACTATCATATTCTGGTGTGCTATCCTCAAAATCAAACAACATATGTTGTATTTCATCTGCAGACAGACCATGTTTTTGACCCGCCACTGTATTTAATGACAGCTAAAAACAATCGTGAATGACTGGGAGATTGTAGGCTGTTACGTTAACCTCCCTATGCACGTCAATGACATTGCTCTTGTCTTCTGTAGGCAGGACGAGTCAACTCGGTGTACACATGGGTAAGTGAATGTAATGCCTGATAATGAGTATACTCAGGATTCACGCTGCATATTAGGTTATTGCTGGATGGGTTAACTCGGGATACATGGTAAAAAAAAGGTTAAATAATTACTTAAACTTCTCAATCTCCATACCGCAACTTTCAAATTAAAGATAAACTGACAATGCTCTATGCTGAAAACAATGTAGCATTATACATTATTCAACAGATTAACACTTTGCCTTTCTATTGGTTATAAATGATATACAATGTCAGAGAGAATTACTG